TTATCCCCACCTCCAGCCCTCCTCATCTACCCCGCATTCTCAATAACGATTGAAGTTGAGTCTTTCCTCCACTCAGAACTGTGGTATGGCTTCCTGTCCTACTTAGTAAATAATCAAACATTCTTACTGAGCCCCAAATCCTTATAGCTGGGTCCCCACTACTTCTCTGACTTCACTTTTCCCTTCTTTGGCCACTCTACTCTTGTATCTTGAACTTCCCTCCAACACACCAAGCATTTTCCTGTCTTGAGACTTTTGCCCATTCGCTACCCTCTTGCTGAAACATTCAGCTGTGGACATGTCTCCTCCTCTACTGCCTAAAACTTCTTGCCTGAATATCAGAGCTCGGTGCTAACTCTGCGGGAGCCGCTGTGGCTTCTCGGAAAAGGTAGGGCCCCGCGCGAGGAGGGAGGGACGGGGCTGCGGGGCCGAGGGCGCTTCCCGCAGCGCACGGACGGGCTCACGCACCCAAGTGCACCCGGCGGCGCGGTGGCCGCACCCAATCCCAATCTCCGCCCCGCCGACCCGGCCAGCGGGGGATCGCGGGGGGCGACGGCTGCCAAGGCCGCCTGAAGCGCTGGTGGGGGACAAGAGGGTCCCCAGGCCAAGGGCCGGGCCCCACCGGGCCCGCGAGCCGGCTACGCCCGACACCCTAGGCCTCCAGGATGGTGTGGCGCTCCTCGGAGAGAAGTCCATGGAGAAGGGGTGACCTGCAGGATGTGCCACTTGAAGGTGCTCACCTTGAGCGTGGCCAGCGCGCCCCCGCACACCGCGCACACCTGGCCGCGCCGGCCTCCGTCGTCGTCCATCAGGTAGGTGTCGCCCCGCCAGCGCGGCTGGTTGTTCCGCAGCTGCTCCCGGACTCCTGGCCGTCCCCATCATCCTCCTCTTCCACTGCTGGCCCGGAGCCGCCCCTACCGCCGCCACTCCGGCTCCGGTGTCCTCGCTGGGCTCCGTGCGCTGCGCTGAGGAGCGGGGCTTGGGGCGCTGGGCGCATGCGTGGGGCGGCCGGCCGCATGGACGGCTGGCTGCTCGCTGGGCGGCGCGGACTGGACCGGGGTGGGGATTCCTGTCTGGGGCCCTGGGCTCCTTTAAGGGCTCCTGGGTAAACTTAAGGGGGTCGCGCGCTATTTCCTCCTGCCAGTCGCGGGGGGCGAAGAGTCCGCAGCCGATGTCCGCTGCGGACGGTAGGAACACGGACCTGGCCGCTCTCGCGGGCCCTCACCGCCGCCTCCGCGGCTCTAGTCCCGCACCCGAAGGGTCACCGAGGTGGCGAGGGTGCCCGCGTCCAGGGCCGCGCGCTTCCATCAAGGCTGCGCTCACGGCCACCGCCCCCTCGGGGCGTCTCAGCGCGGGGTTCTCCGCAGCGGCGCTCCCTGGGGACCGCCCGGTGGAGCGGCCGGGGACCCCGCCAGGGGCTCCCTTCTCCCGCGCGAGCTCGGCGCGGGGCCCGGAGAGGACGCGACTGGCAGGAGCCCCGAACTGGAGAATTTTTTTTGCAAGTTTGTTAATGCCGTTAAAGCAAAGGTGTGGAATTTGGGCTTCTTAACTATTGCCGTGTGTCCTTAGGCAGGTCACATCCCCCTTCTAAACCTGCCCTGTAAGAATGTAGCAGTGAAACCGTGTTTATGATCTGCACAGCGGTGTCTGACACACACACACTTTCAATAAATAGTACTTAGGATGCCTTCATGTCAAATTTGCTTGGTGAGTTTGGTAAAGGGGGGGGGCAGTCCCTGATCCTGGGGTTTTAGCCCAGGGTTTTGTGCATCCTAAGCAGGTATTCTACCTCTTGAGCCACACCTCCAACCCCACCTGATGGGGTTGGAATCAGAGGTGTCAGATGGGGAAATGCTTAGTTGAAGTCAACAGCTTTTACTTTGTCCATTTTGGTATTCAGTGAGACAGAGCCCTGGGACATCAGCAGAAGCCCTGTGGTCCAGCAAGGGGCACTACTGGGAGAAGTGCTTCTCCAGCTCAGGGTCATGCTCAGACCTTCCTTCCCACAATCCAGGACTACTCCTCTCTATGGCTACAGCATCCATGAATGTTCCCCATGATTCGTCATCATGGCCACAGCTCCACAGGAAGTGACACTCAAGATATAGAGAAGGGCTGACTTATGGATAGGACTGTGCAATGAGCACAGTGACAAAGCAAATGACCTTTTGTAAACTGCATCTTACTGCCTAGCCTCAGTTTCCCATCATGAAAATGGGTTTAATTGTAATGTATACACCTTTTAGGATGGTTCTCAGAATTAAATAGCACCTACTATATAGGGCAATTGACAGTGCCTGGGACACAGAAAGCACTCAGTAAATGCCACATTTTCAATATAAAATTAATAATTGTGGCCTCTATTGCTTATTTGGGGAATGTAGAGAGGGATCCTTTGCTCTTCTTTGCCTTTGAGATATTCCCACGAGGCTTAGTGAAATGACACAGAGAAATACTGGGGCTCCAACCACGATATGGATAGCTGTGGTTCTCCAGAGACACAGGACCAGTAAGATACGGATAGAAAACAGGTAGACATTAGGCATATGTTTGTTATAAGGATTGGTTCATGCAATCTTGGAGGATGCAAAGTTCCACCCAATGCCATCTTCACACTGGAGACCCAGAAAAATCAGTGGTGTAGTTCAAATGCCCAAAAGCCTGGCCCCTGCTGGTGTAGGTTCCAATCTGGCCTGAGCAGCAGGGGTTTCAGGGAGAAGGTCAAAGTCCCAGCTTGTGCAGACAGGCTGGGGGAGCATGAATCGTACCTTTGAAAAATTCTAAGTCACTCAACATGTTAGATGTCCACTCACATTGGGGAGGGCTGTGGACTCACTGCACTAATTCAGATGCTGGTGTTTTCCAGCAACTCCCTCACAAACACACCTAGAAATGTTTAGTCAGATAATTGAGAATCCCATGACCCAGGCAAGCTTACAAGTACAATTACACATCACTTGGACCAAGTACTAAGGGCACCAAAAGAGGGAGGACTCCTATGGTTTGAGATATACTTGCCTCATTCGTGTATAGAGTGGTTCTTATCCAGGAGTAACTTGGTTCCTTGGGGGACATTTGAAGTTTCTGGAGTCCTCTTTGGTTTTTACAACTGAGAAAGGAATAGATGTGGCACCATATCGAGCAGGTCAAAGGCTGTTCAACATCTTACAATGCACAAGGCAACCTGTCTCTAGCACTAAATATCAATAAGACAAAGGATGACAAACCGTATTCATTTAATAATCATTTTATTGAGTGCCTAGTGTGTGCCATGCTGTATTCACTTGACAAACATTCATTGAGCACCTAGTGTGCCCTGGATATTTTTCCAGGTATAATCAGAGATATAAAATTGAACTAATTAGACAAGATCCCCAGTCTACGTTTACACTTTGAGGGAAGACATAAATATAAACAAATACAGTGAACCATTTATGCATGGGTTCCACATCCTCACATTCAACCAACTGCAGACTGAAAACATCTGAAAAGACTGGCATCTGTGTAAACATGTAAACAGTTTCCTTGCCATAGTTCCCTAAACAATACAGTATGACAGCTTTCCACGTAGCATTTATATTGGATTAGGCATCCTAAGTCATCTAGACATGATTGAAAGACTGTGGGAGGGTGTGCACAGTTTCTGTGTGAACACTGTATAAGGGATATGGGCATCAAGAGCCTAGTGTTTGTGAGAAGTCCTGCAACAAATCACTCATGGATACCGAGAGATGACCATCTGAATTAATATATAAATATAGTATATATGCTATATGCATATGCTCAAGTCTTTTATACAAAAAGGTATAGTATTTGCATAGAACCTACACACATCTTCTCATAGACAATACTTATTTATTTTGGTGATACTGGGGTTTGAACTCAGGGCCTCATGCTTCCTAGGCAGGTGTTCTACCACTTGTGCCACTCTGCCAGTCCTTTTTTTTGCATTTTTTTTTTTTCAAAGTAGGGTCTCCTGAACTATTTGACTGGGCTGGCTTCGAACCATGATCCTCCTGATCTCTGCCTCCTGAGTAGCTAGGATTACAGGTGTGAGCCACTGGTGCCTGGTCTTGACTCTTCACTTTGTCTTTCTAAAATGGAGTTCCTAATAACAGGGTTGTTATCAGGCTTACATAAGATTTTGCACATAATATGCCTAACAGAGGGCCTGGAATAGACTCTTAATAAATTGAGGATAGGCATGGGTGTCCTAAACCAGTTCTTTTAAATTGTAACAACCTAGGAGTGTAGTTTTTCATTGGTGAGTTTAATCCATTTCCCTTTTTAGTAAATACTGTTGTATCTGGAATCAATTCTAGAATCTTATTCAATAGTCTATTATAAATAAATTTAGGTAATATCTACAAACACATATAGATCTATTTAGCCTATATTAAATATACAAATAGGTACACTGCTTTCATTAAGCAAAAAAATAAAAATAAACAATATGTAGGAACACAAAGCCAGCCAGCCATGATGGTGCACACCTGTAATCCCAGCCCTTGGGAGGCTGAGGCAGGATGTTCTGTCCACATCCATACCTTAGGGCAGTGGGACAGGTTGCTGAGAGACTGAAAAAAATGTCTGCAGACATTATGGAACACATAAGGGCTATCGAAACTTGTGAACAGGCAGAGTCCAGTTGTGTCCAGATGGATGGGCATACCACCATGGCCACTTGAGCAAAGGGTTTCCAAGTTGGATCTATAGAAGTACTGATGTCTTTCGTTTGCTTTTTTTCTTTGGCCAGAATCCCAAGGAAGAGCTATCTTTGACATATGTGCAGAAAAGTTTTTTCTTTAGATAATATTTGTATGCCCAGTTCTGAATGTATGTGGGGCATCAGTGTACTATCAGATGATGGCTACCAGATGCTCTTTTATGTTTGTGAATTCAACCAAGTTGACAAAGCATTCCCACACACTTTACACTGATACTACCCTTCTTCAGTATAGATTGTTATGTTTGCAGAAAGCCTGGTGTGTTTGAGGCCTTCACATAATTGACACTGAGGAATTCTTTCCAGTGTGAGTTCTTCCATGTCTGTGAAGGGAACCAGAATAAGAAAAGGCTCTCCCACATTGTTTGCATACATAGGGTTTCTCACTAGTGTGAGTTTGTTTATGTCTTTGTCGATTACTCCAGTTAGAAAAGGTTCTCCCACATTGCTCACACACATAGGGCTTCTCTCCAGTGTGAACTCTTTCATGACATTGAAGGGAATAGTTACAAATGAAGGCTCTACCACATTCCTTACATTTATATGGCTTCTCTCCAGTGTGAGTTCTCTCATGTATTCGAAAGGAACTGGGAGAAATGAAACCTTTTCCACACCACTTACATAGAAAGGGTTTCTCTCCAGTGTGAGTCATCGTATGTTTTCTAACGGAACTGATACAAGGGAAGGCTTTCCCACATTGCTCACAAAGATAGGGTTTCTCTCCACTGTGGATAGTTTCATGATATCGAAGGGAAGTACGACTAGTGAAGTCTTTATCACATTGCTTACACGCACAGGGTCTCTCTCCAGTATGACTTCGTGCATGTTGTTGAAAGGAATTGTAATAAATGAAGGCTTTCCCACATTGCTTACATACATAGGGCTTTTCTCCAGTGTGAGTTTGTTCATGTCTTCGGACAGTATTCAAAAAAGAAAAAGCTTTCCCACATTGCTTACATACATAGGGTTTCTCTCCACTAGAAGTTCTTTCATGGAATTCAGGGACACTGGGAAAAGTGAAGGATTTACCACATTGCTTACCCATGTATGCTTTCTTTCTAACATCACTTTTTACATGTATTTGCATGTTACCGTGACTTCTGAAGGCTTTCCCATGTGGATAATATTCATATGGCCTCTCTCCAGTGTGAGTTTGTTCATGCCCCAGAACGTTTTTTGGATAACTTATGGCTTTCCCATATTCCTTATATTTATACAGCTTCTTTCCATATTCCTGATATTCATGTTTACATCCGGTGTGAACAGTAACAGGCACATTCAGGGCTGAATGACGAATGAAGACTTTTCTACACACAGGGGTGTCACATGGCTTTTTTCCAAGGGGACTTTTCTTGTTCACAATACGACCTGGAATCCAGCTGAAGAATTCTTCCCATTGACTACCTTCTTTTTGTTCATTGAGTCTCTCAACCACTTGATTTCTTTAAAAAATAGGAAGCATGTTACAAAGGTTTTGTTTACTAATTATTTCCCAAGGAAAGAATTGCTGATTTCATACACTGTAAGATTTTTGCACATGAATAAACTGACTGCTCTGCAGCAGGTGTGAGAACGGCTACTAATAAGACAGTGGTATTCATACAGGGTGTCTTAGTACATGTTCCATGTTCACTATTTTGCAAGCACTGCGTGTCCATGTCACATTTATTGTGTTGTTTATTAATTAATTAATTAATTTATTTATTTATGAGGAGGAGTCTTGCTGTGATACCCAGACTGGCTGCAAACTCACAACCTTCCTCTGTCAGCTTCTTGACTCACTGGGATGGCAACATGCACGACCAAGTTTTCCTCACCATTTCACATTTAAACACAATTAAGTAAGTATTCATTACACAAAATAGCTTGGACCAAAACTATTTTGGATTTTGAAATATTTGCATACACAGGATCTATCTTAAAGATGAGTCCCAGTCTAAACATGGAATTCCTATTTGTTTTATATATATCTTATACCCAAAGGCTGAAGGTAATTTCATACAACACTTTTAATAATTATGTAAATAAAACAAAGTTTTTGAATACTGAACAACCAAAGTGTCATTTGTGACATCCTGCCAGGATTCTGTGGCTCCCAATATTATAATGTCAGGTTTTGGATTTCATAATTCTAGATGCTTAATTTGTATACATTTTTAGAGACACTTGCCTGGTACTGAATCAATTATAGGTGAGTTTATTTGCATAATTAACTTTGTTTCAAAAATTTCTAGGAATTACCATATTCTAGAGGTACATTCCTTTTATTTGTGAGGTTAAATTACCTTAGATTTCTCCTGGATATTTTGTACGCATCTTCAATGTTCTGAACTCTGTGTGTTCTTCCTACAATGTAGACCAGAAAAAAATCATCATGAATTATATTATTATAGAAAATAACATGTTCTGGATAGGTTGGTGGTATAGTGTGGTATGTGACCATGCATGGGTTATTAACCAGATTTACCTGTTCCATATGCCATATCATGGAGCAGCACTGATGAACAAGGAACTCTTGTTCTTTCACTGACTAGTAAGGGAATATGATCACCTTTACCTACAGCAGCCAGGTTCCTGATGGTTTCCAACATCACATCTCCATAGAGTTTCTTCTGGGGGGGGCTCCAGCAAAGCCCATTCCTCCAGGGTGAAGGTCACAACCACATCCTCAAAGGTCACAGAGTCCTAAAAAGTCCCACAGATTTCCAGGTTAAAGGGTCAGCCTCACAATGCTAGAGATGTAGACTCAGTAAGTTCACATGATGTGCGTTTCACACACCATCACCTGTTCACACCCTGTCCTGGTCATAACTCTCCCTCTCCAGCCATTCTCACTTCCTCACAGATAGCATCTGACACTAGACTAGAATTTTTTGGTAAAAGAGCAGCAGAACAGGACACCAATGATGCTGGTGGATCCCCCAATGTCTCTTTGAACACAAGGTCTGTAGCATTTCTCATAACAAAGTCCTACTACGTGGTTTGCATGAGAGAGTCAGCAGCTGTTCTGAGACTGCATATTCTCAGAAAGGTTGAAACCAAACTTCCACCTTTGATGGGATTTGGGCACTGCAATGGAGGTGAATCTCACCAGCCTAACTGTAAAGAAGGGCACAAGCTCCCACACAGTTTATGTCACCAAAATGCTATTTAACTGTTTTTTGTCCCTCTGAATACTTGCAAGCTTCTAACATGCTCATCAGAGGCAACCTACGTGACCAGTCTCAAAGTAGAAACTAGAGAGTGAATGTTAACTCTTATCTATAAAGTTTTACCACTCCCAAAACACTTTGCCAACCACACAAACATTTTATCAACTTTACTGGGTATGATTGTCTGACAGTGTTCAAAATCTTCAGAACAAGAAAGCAACAGCTTGATTAATATCAAGCACAAAACAATGAGAAGCTGGGCGCTGGTGGCTCACGCCTGTAATCCTAGCTACTAAGGAGGCAGAGATCAGGAGAATCACGGTTCAAAGCCAGCATGGGCAAATAGTTCATGAGACCCTATCTCTAAAAACCCTTCACAAAAATAGGGCTAGTGAAGTGACAAAATGAAGGCCCTGAGTTCAATCTCTGGTACCATTAAAAAAAAAAGGAAGGAAAAAACCAATTAAAACTCCATGTTATTGTTTGGATCTGGAATGTCATCAAAAAGGCTCATGCATTGAAGGCTGTGTTCCCAGTGCAGCAATGTTCAGAGGTGGGGACTTGGAGAAATGATTAGATGACAGCTCTGAGCTCATCAATTGATTGATACATTAATGGACTCAATGGATTTAACTGAATGGATTTTGGAAGGAGGTGGAAAATGTAGCAGTTGAGGCCTGGTTGGAGGAAGAAGTAACAGGGACAAGGCCATGAAAGGTATTTTTTGTCCTCAACCCCACAGGCTATTTCCCAGCTGCCATGTTGAGCAGCCTCCAACACTGCCACCCATGGCCACTGTTTTGCCTTACATGGGCCCAAAGCAATAGAGCCAGCAGATCATGGACTGAAACTTCTAAAATCATGAGCCAAGATAAAGCCACCTTTAAGTTGCGTTCCTAGGTATTTTGTCACAGAAGTTGAAAACTGACTAATACACTCCAGTAGTCATCACAGTATTAACAGAGGGATTAACAAGTATATCATGGGAAGGGGAAACTATTTAATGGGTCAACACAAAACTGAAAATTAGTTCATGGAGTAGGCATTCCACATTAGAGGCAAAACGTAATTTCCTTATTGTACAGGAACAACCTTGTTTGTATTTAATCCACAGAGGAGTGTGCAATGTATTCCCTCCTCATCGACAAATGTAAAATTATACACTAAAATGGGAAAGATAGAGCTTGAGGGCATGGCTCAAAGTGGTAGCGTGCCTGCCCTGCCTACCAAGTGCAAGGCTCTGAGTTCAAACCCCAGCACCACCAAAAATAAACATACAATATGGGAAAGATAAAACTTGAACACGTTGAGAGGTGAGTCAAACATCTTTTGGATGTAATAGAAAGTTTTCTAATGAGAAAAAGGAAACACCATAAGAAATGGACAAGCTGGGTGCCAGGGGCTCACACTTGTAATCCTACCTACTTGAGAGGCTGAGATCAGGAGGATTGTGGTTTGAGGCCAGTCTGGGCTTTGTGAGACCCCCATCTCCAAAATAACAAGAGCAAAATGGACTAGAGGTGTGGCTCAAGCAGTAGAGCACTACTTTACAAGCGTGACGCCCTCAATTCAAACCCCAAACCCACCAAAATAAAAATGACAGAAATAATGGCATCTATGAATATTAAAGTCAGGCTTCAGGATGACAATGTCAACACAGTCAGCACTGGTTTGTCCTCCACAGGATGGAAACATAGCAGCAGGATTATAAATGAACTGGATGTCAGTGGCCACTGCTGTCCCCTGGAATTTTATTCTTTGGTTTTATGAGACACTTTCATTATGTAGCCCAGAGTAACTTCTAACTCATGATCTTTCTGACTTTTCCTCCTAAATGTTAGGATTACACACATGCACCGCCTTGCCCCAGGTCACTAGAAAATGACGGCACATCAAATATAAAAATTACAAACAATGATTTATAAGGAATTTATATGGACTGGCAGGTAGTTTATGATACTAGCTTAACATACACACACACACACACACACATATACATATATATATATATATATATAAATCTGCTAGGTGCCACTGGCTCAGACCCTATCTCAAAAAAAACCCTTCACAAAAAAGGACTGGTGGAATGGGCTCAAGCAGTAGAGGACCTGCCTAGCAACCACGAAGCACTGAGTTCAAATCCCAGGTCCACCAAAACAAATCCATCATTTTGCTATATATCAATGACCAAAAACTGGTTTAGATATTTAAAAAAATGTCATTTATCCAGCACTAATAATGAGACACAAGAGTGTGTGTAAGTGTGAGTAAGAATGACTAAGTAAGAGTGGAGGAGAGAGTAATTTAACATAACATGAAAGGTCAGATATAATGGTGGTACATGCCTGTTATCCCAGAATTCCAGGGGCTGAAAGTACCATGGCAAGTTCAAGGGGAACATAGCAAGGCCCTGTCTCCAAAAACCCTTAACTCCAGAGATGATAACAAGAAGATATAAAAGAGGAAGACATAATCATACAGAGATGCTGCCTCATAAAAGATGGACAAAAATAAACAAATTAGATCATTTCAGGTGCTGGCAAGCTGCACACTAATAAGTAAGTATCTACAACAGGTCAGAAGGTAAATTCATATACCATCAAAATTTTCCATTAAATGAGGCTACCTGTAATTTACCAACTAGCAATTCCTTCATCCGATACATGAATTTATGAAGCATCAGCTCTTGGGGACAATATGAGTAACTTTGTCAGCCAGAGCAGTGAAAGCCTGTAATCCTAGCTACTCAGAAGGCAGACATTACGAGGATGTGTCAGGGCAGAAAAGTTCAGGGAACCCTATCGCAACCAGTGACTGGGCCCAGTGGTGCACAACTGTCATCCCAGCAATGTGGAGGAAGCATAAACAGGAGAATCACAGTGACTTGGGCATAAAGTTGAGACCTGTGTCAAAAAGTAACCAAAGCAAACAGGGCTGGTTGGCGGCACAAGTGGTTAGAGTACCTGCCTGGCAAAGGTTAAGTCCTAAGTTCAACCCCCAAGAAAACCTGAGTAGCCAGGAAA